CTCCCCTCTGTCCCAAACACTCAGATTTATAAAACACTGGGGTTTTTAAAACTTTTTTTGAACTTTTTAAAGCTTATCAGAGAGGGTTTGCTCCCTAATACATCATATTTCAAACACAGACTCCCTAAAGCCTTGCCTGCTGGGAGCAGAGCTGCCCTGAGGCTGGAAGGACTGCTGGGGATTTGGGGCGGTGGGCTGGGAACTCACCTGGGGGTTTTCAGGCTGATTTCCTGGGCAGGGAGTCTGTGTGTCTGTYCACCTGCCCCCTGCAATATCTATCAGCCTGCTCAGACTAAATATGCCCCAGAGGCTGGGAGGGGACACAGCTCCAGGGGATGGGGGTGCAGGGCTGTCTGGAGAGGGGGGCACTGATGGGAGGCAGAGGTGGAGGCAGATTTGGGGTGAGAAAGTGGAGGCCAGGCTAAAAGGAGCAGAGATCAGGGCTGCAGCCTGCCCCCCACAGCCTGAKTTCTGGGAAAGGCAGCGCACCTGGAAAAGGCAGCTGAAGCCTGCAGAAAGTGCATTTGTGCCTGTGAAGAAATGAAATGATATTTAACCTTCCTCCCAGGCGCGCTGTGAGTGCGAATGTTTGCAAAGCTGTGAGATCCTCGCTTGAAAGGTGCTGTGAAAGTGCAAAGCATTATTAATATCCTTTACCTTCCTCCTCATAGACTGAGCATTCATGCTGGGGGATTTCTGGACATAAACCAGACAGCTGTAGAACGACAGTTCTTGAAAGCATCTATGATTTATTTGCTGCTCTTTAATTCCATTTTGTATTGAACACACATTTGTCATAGGGCTCTTGTTCCACAGGGCCTTTTAAGTCTAACCCAGACATGGGGACCAGATCCTTTCTGGGATAAATTTGCCCCCACTCCGCTGTAGCCATTTGCTGATTTACACCGGGAGAGAACCTCAGTCCGAGGCTTTTAATTGAATTTCCATCCCGTGGCCAGTTTTGGTGTAAAATCCAAGTGGTTTTAATGACAGATAAGGCTCTCCTTGTCCCGGTCTGTCTGCAGATCTATAGGATCTCTTTGAGCCACTGGTCCTGGGAACGATCCTGGTTTTGCAGGAACCGAGTCTCTGGGTGGGTTCCCTGGCTCTGCCTGTCCCATTTTGCTTTAAACACGTTCAGCTCTYGAGCCTGGGCCTGGAAGCTGAGAGGGCTGGTGTGGTTCTTTCACGTTGCAGGGATTTTTGTGAAATAAAAATAGCTTCCTGCATTTGGAGATTTTTTTTTTTTTTGAGGGGGAGAGGGAGAGCTGGAAAGTCACAGTAGCTGAGTGCACATGGTGGTTTCAGTAGCAGGGCCTGCATTGCTGRTTATAGAATTTAACCCCTCTTTTACCACAGCAAAGTCACATTCAGGGCTGAATCTCATCCTACAACACAAAGCTGCCCCTACACATTCTCACGCTTCGCTCCATAATCCACATTTACAGAGGAAACTGAGGCAAAGGGACTCATCTCAGTCAGCCTGGATGAAATTTGGGCTGAATCACATTCACAGCATCCTTTCAAGCTGTCCTTTCACATCCAGGCTGCCAAGAAACCCATTGAGAGGGGTTTGGAAGGATCCTTTTTACCAGGCTGGGCCAAATGCCCCTGGAGAGCCAAGCCCTGATCCTGCACAGCCCAAACAGCCACGGGGATCCAGCACACCTGCCTGGAACGGTGTCATTGTTGGGGAAAATGGGACACTGAGAGGAGCAGGTTCCTCCCCTGCAAAGGGACAAAGCTCCTCCATCTGGAGAAGGAAGAGAAGGACCAAGATCATCTCTCCAAGTCATGGCCTGTTTATGTTCTCAAAACACACCAATGGCTCTGGATCATTGTAGCAATGGATTCCCTTGAGGCAGTGATCTGACCCAAAAGAATCAGAGAAAACTGAAAATTTTCAATGATTTCTGCTACTTTTTGGGAAGGAAACTTTTCCCCATTTTAAAAAGGATTTTCCTGTTTGGAAAAGAATGGCTACCTTTATTTTAACAAAACCATCATGTGGCATTTCCATTTATGTTACATGAGGGCAGAACTATGGATTGATGAACAAACCAAAATGTACAGTAACATCTCGATTGGTGAAATTTCTGAAGGTTTTGCTTTTCCCAGTGCAGAACTCTGGGTTTTTCAGAGCATTCTCCGAACATGGCCCTGACAGCTCTGGTTGTAATAATTCAGAGGGATCTCCCTGGGGAGAGATGSAAGTCAGAGCCTGGCTGCAGAGAGGACATGGGAAAAGGCAGGAGCTGCCTCAGCCCTCACCCCTTTCTCCTGATTGGGGTCACTGGCAGGGCTCGGGCTCACTCAGGGAAATCGGGGTTCCATGGGGCTGTTCCAGGAAGGAAAATGTCCCCTGGAACAGCAGAATGTCCCTGGTTCAGAGCAGACACAGCTGCTGGGGCTGAGCTGGGGGGCAAAGGTCCCAACAGCACCATGGTGGGGACAGCCCTGCTGCTGCTTGTGTGGCCACAGGAGAGGGGACAGGGGGCAGGAATGGGGACAGAGAGCATAAATGGGACAGGGATCCTAAATGGGGACAGGGAGCATGAATGGGACAGGGATCCTAAATGGGGACAGGGATCCTAAATGGAGACAGGGATCCTAAATGGGGACAGGGAGCACAGATGGGGACAGGGATCCTAAATGGGGACAGGGAGCATGAATGAGACAGGGATCACAAATGGGGACAGGGAGCATGAATGGGACAGAGTTCCTGAATGGGGACAGGGATCCTCAATGGGACAGGGATCCTGAAGGGGACAGGGATTTGGAATGGGACAACCCTTCCCTTTGGGACAGGGCTCCCTTTAGGGACAGGGCTCCCTTTAGGGCTACAGCTCCCTGCTGGCACACCATGGATGGGGCTGTCACCTCCCTGTCCCCGAGCTGTCTCATCCCACTCTTTGTCCCAGGCTGAAACCACAGTGGTTTGTTTTCCAGTCCGATCTATTTGCAGTGGGGTTTGTGGTTTCTGTAAAATGGGAAAAAAACAAACAAGTAAAATAAAAATAAAACCGGGCAGATTACACGAACTCTGTTTTCCCCCATTCCCCTCCCTCCCCTCCTCCYCCTGYTCCCCACCCTCCCCTCTCCCATCCCTCTGTGTTTTCCTTTCCATGCCAATAATGCAAGGCTGTCATTTCAAAGCCTCGGCGGCTTTCCCAGCGCTGAGGAATGTGCCAGTGCCCGGGATGGATCCCAGGGAGCTGCACAGCCCCCGGGCACGAGGTGCAGGGCACAGGGGCATTCAGAATGTCCCCTGCAGGGAGCCTTTCCCCTTCTCCCTCTCCCTGGAACAGCCTCCTTTTWGTGACTTCCACTCCTCCACCTCCCCGGGTTCAAATCCTTAAAATTAATAAATATTAACATCAATTAATATTTCTTTATTTAAATATTAATATGAAATATTTAATTTATGTGAAATAATAACAGGGCTCATCTCCTCCTCCTCCTCCTCCTCCTCCTCCTCCTCTGCCTGTGGTGCTCTGAATCCTGGGATAAGGGAAAGGGGTCTCCTCTTGGCTGGGATGGTGGCACTGAATTCAGAGTGCAAGGCAGTACTCCATGGGCAGAATGTGTCCGGTTTGGGAGCTGCCCACWGAGCCCCATTGCTGCACTGACCCCRATTTACACCCTAAGTGAGGGGCCAGGACAGCTTTGGAGATGTAGGAGAGGGAAAACRCAGCCCTACACAACCTAAGCCAGGTGGAACCACGAAGCAAAGCCAGATCCTTGCAAGGATTTTTTKGGGAAAAGGTCATTTCAGCCCCTCTGTGCCTCTGTCTTTGGTCATTGGATCCCTGCTGTGGTGCAGCCAGGAGAGCAGGATGAGGCAGCAATGCAAATTCTGCCCTCTCCAAAGCAAAGTTGTGCCAATGGGAATCACAAACCGTGCAGGGAAAGGTCAGAATGAGGCTTGGGCAGGAATGTCAGAGGGGCAGAAGGTTTGGGGACAGGTAAGAGGTAGAATTGGGGACGGATACGAAGCACAATGATGTTATGGACAGAGTAATACTTGTGGGGTTTGATTGAAGGGGCCAGGAGCAAATCCTCTGGAGAGAATCCCTGTTAACCCCTGGCCTGTCCCTGCTGTGATGGTTTTRGGGACAGACCTGGACAGTTTGGGCACATTCTGAGAGTTTCTTACARCTTTCCAGTGGCAGATGAGGCCCCTCTGCTCAAGCCCTGCTCCCCCCCAGCTCTTGCCCCTGCGGGTTTAGGGTGTCTCGGATTCCCAGTAGGCTCTGGGTGCAATTCCCTGTCCCCACAATCCATATCCTAGCTGTTGGCTCTGAGCCACCGTCCCCTGCTGCCACTGCTGGGGTTTCTCCCTGTGCAGGGCAGGCACAGTGAACCCTCAGCAGGGCCCTGCTGCTGGAAATCAAGGTGRCAGCACTGCCAGAGCTCCCTCCCTTTGCTCTGCACCTTCCTGGGCTGTGCCCACCCAAACGGGAGAATTCTCTGAGTCACAGTGTTCTGACACAAAGAGGAGGAACAGGTCTTCCTGTTGGAGGGATTTATACAAATGGTCACGATATTTTCAACTAAATGTTTGATAGACCCCCCCCCCTTTTTCCCAAAAAAAGAATTCATATTTGCAAAAAATGTGAAAAAAGTTCTAATAGGGAAGGRGGTCAGAATTTATACATTTAATAATCCAATTTTCTGTTCACAACATGAATGCAAACTAGAAGGGAAGTTAAGGTGCAATAAGAGAAAATTAATAAATTACTCTCATAATATTTTCCTTGTCTCACTGCCTRTTTAGGAAATTATAAACATCTACATAATATTTTCCTTATCTGCATATTTTCATTTTACAGCAAAAATTTAAACTTCTGGTGACATCTCCTAATTTTACAGTGCAATCCCAAAAACTTCAGTTCTTAGGCTGAGTCAACCTTTCCCTCGCAGTGGCTGTGGTTCCTGTGGGGTGTATTTTGTATTTTGTGCCGGTTCTCTGTCCCTCTAAACCCCCTCTCTCTTTCCAGGCCCTCCTGTCGCAGGAACACAAAATGTGAATAAGACAACGGAGCAGCAGCGGCCCCAGCCAGGTGAGGGGGGATCCTGTGCCCCTGGACCGGGAGCAGCCGGGGGGGATGGATGTGTGGGGCTGCTCCAGAGGGCTCTGTTGGGCTGGGCTGTCAGCAGAACATCCCAGTGCCAGGATCTGCAGGGGAACAATTCCCTGGAGCATCCCAGCCTGTCCCTCCCAGGATCTGCAGGGGAACAATTCCCTGGATCATCCCAGCCTGTCCCTCCCAGGATCTTCAGGGTCCCCTCGATCATCCCAGCCTGTCCCTCCCCAGGATCTGCAGGGCTCCATCCCCCCTGGATCATCCCAGCCTGTTCCTCCCCAGGATCTGCAGGGTCCCGATCCCCTCTGGATCATCCCAGCCTGTCCCTCCCAGGATCTGCAGTGCTCCATCCCTTCTGGATCATCCCAGCCTCTCCCTCCCCAGGATCTGCAGGGGAACAATTCCCTGGATCATCCCAGCCTGTACCTCCCAGGATCTGCAGGGTCCCCTGGATCATCCCAGCCTGTCCCTCCCCAGGATCTGCAGGGTCCCCTGGATCATCCCAGCTTGTCCCTCCCCAGGATCTGCAGGGTCTCGATCCCCCCTGGATCATCCCAGCCTGTCCCTCCCAGGATCTGCAGGGTCTCCATCCCCCCCTGGATTATCCCAGCCTGTCCCTCCCAGGATCTGCAGGGTCTCGATCCCCCCTGGATTATCGCAGCCTGTCCCTCCCAGGATCTGCAGGGGAACAATTCCCTGGATTATCCCAGCCTGTCCCTCCCCAGGATCTGCAAGGTCTCCATCCCCCCTGGATCATCCCAGCCTGTCCCTCCCAGGATCTGCAGGGTCCTGATCCCCCCTGGATCATCCCAGCCTGTCCCTCCCCGCTGGAAGCGCCTCCAGCCATTCCCGCAGGTCTGCCTGGTCCGGAGCAGCACACAGTGGGAAGGCAGCTCCGCTGGGCAGGGCAGGGGGTGTTCTCTGCTGCTGTCCCGGGGCTCTGAAGGGCCGAGCCCACCTTCCCTGCCCGAGCTGCTCCCCGTCCCTCCCTCTGCTCCGGGGCTTGGCTCTCCTGTCATTCGTTCAATCCACGGGCAAACGCTGCGGATCCAAATCACCACAACCAGAGGGAGGCACGGGAGAAGTGTAGAGATTAGGGCTGAGGAGGCCCCACAAAAAGGGAAGGAATTCATTCCTAATAAACGATTTGTGGGGTTTTCAAGAAGCACTCAGCCTCGGTGGAGCCAGCGACAAACTCCTGTTACTCTCATCTCTCTAATGCTCTGTTCATGCCACAAAGAGACACTTGGGACAATATTTCCTTGTCCTCCCAGGGCAGCAAGCTCAGCTGCTAACAAGTGAATCTGAAAATCTYATCTCCTCTCCTTTTTATTTCATTCTTTTTTATTAAGAGACATTTCTTTGCTCCTGTTTTGTGCTGTTCTCCTATCCCACAGTTCTTTTTTTCCATGTTTGATGTTTTCTGTTTGCCACTGAGTGCAGGATGATCAGGTTGCCACCGAGTCCAAGGAGATCCCAGACTGTGAGAGCAGGCAGATCTGAAAGCAGTGCCAGCAGCTGTGGCTGTGCCATTTCRGATTCCAGAAATACTTGGTGGTTGTTTGCTAGGAAAAAAGAGAAGGAGAACTTCCAGTCTCTGGGAGAGAGGGCAGAAAGAGCAAAGAAAGAAAATGAAAATTTGGTTTCTAGAACAAACATAATGACCTGGAGTTTCTTTTTGWTGAAACATCCTTAAAATTTTGTTGGATGATTTTTCTTTTTTATTTTTAGATCCCTACCAGATCCTGGGCCCCACCAGCAGCCGCCTTGCCAATCCAGGTGAGTTCACTTTACATTTCAGACCCCTGTTACCAAAGAGGTAAATTCTCCTTCAGAGCTGCAGCTGCTGTCCCAACACCCTTGGGTGACCCACTGACCTCAGCAGCTGTGGCCTCACAAGGGCTTTTGCCAAAACCCTCACAGAAAAGTGAGGAAGGGGTGCAACATCATCTCTGTCAGGACAAAATCCCTATTCTGGGTGTTGTTACCCAAACCCAGCATTCCCTAGGAGGACTTTAATGGGGGATTTAAGTCAGGTCTCTCAGATTCACAGCACCGGGTGATTTTTCAGTGTCTGCTGTGGGTTATATAAAGGAAGGCACAAAACATCTCTGAAAGTCACAGTGTGACTGTCCTTAGCACATCATCTTCAGTAAATAATCCCTGATTTTGAGGAGTAGGGCCCGGTGTAAATCCTCTTTGAACTAACCAAACTGCTACAGCTGTGATGCCTGTGAGAAAACTTCCTCTTGAGGCTCTTAACATACTCCTAACTATTGGTACAACTCCACTGAGTAAAACCAGGAGCCATGTGGGGGACAAATCATCCCGTGTGACTCAAATCACCCTAGAAAGGGAACTGGAGGCATCTAAAACAACCTCCATGGCAAACAGTGAGCAGTGGAGGGGTGAAGAACACTGTGATAACCACTCAGTGAAAACTCTGCAGACCAGTGTCCTCACAAAAAACCCTCTTCATGAAGAGCCCGAGGATTTTAAGGCCAAAGGCAACCATTATGAAATGTGCTGTGACCTCAGGCCCAGGCCCAGAACAAAGGGCTGAATAACTTGTTTGCTGGGAACAGTTTATCCACTGCTAGGGCCGCCTCTGCAAGGGCYGGAGGAGCAGTTCCCAGCCGCCATCGAGATAGCCCTTCTGTTTCCTGCCTTTGTGTGTGCCCYGAGCAGGAAGGCCCGAGTCATTTCCTGTCCCCTTGTCGTGTCTGCAGGCAGCGGGCAGATCCAGCTGTGGCAGTTCCTGCTGGAGCTGCTGTCGGACAGCTCCAACGCCACCTGCATCACGTGGGAGGGCACCAACGGCGAGTTCAAGATGACGGACCCCGACGAGGTGGCGCGGCGCTGGGGCGAGCGCAAGAGCAAGCCCAACATGAATTACGACAAGCTGAGCCGGGCGCTGCGTTACTACTACGACAAGAACATTATGACCAAGGTGCACGGCAAGCGCTACGCCTACAAATTTGACTTTCACGGCATTGCCCAGGCCCTGCAGCCCCACCCCACCGAGTCGTCCATGTACAAGTACCCGTCGGATCTGTCCTACATGCCGTCCTACCACGCCCACCAGCAGAAGGTGAACTTTGTGCCCCCACACCCCTCCTCCATGCCTGTCACATCGTCCAGTTTCTTTGGAGCAGCCTCCCCCTATTGGACCTCCCCTGCAGGAAGCATTTACCCCAACCCCAACGTGCCCCGCCACCCCAATGCCCACGTCACGCCGCACTTGGGCAGCTATTACTAAATGCTTTCGTCTACCAGTGGCCTCGAGCAGCTGGTTGGACATTTTCTTTACTCCTGGGATTTTTATGGTTTTTTGGGGGACCCTTAATGGATCATTGTGGCCTTTCTGGGGGAGAATTAAAACTGGATATTGGTTATTCCTGGACCAAACCTTTTACTTTTGTAACTTTGCCTCTTGTGTCTTGAACTGAGAGATGGAAGCTCCTGTGGGCCAGTATTCTGCATTTTCTTTGGGGTTAAAGGCTTGTGTCCTCTGTAGGAAGTGACAATGAAGATGCTTCACCATTCCCTGGAATGATTTTTAGTTTTTGGTTAAGAGGAATTTTTAAGGATTCAAAGGCTTTTGGCAAGGCATAGATCCAGCAGTGGGTCATAGGGAAAGATGACCATGATGGGCTTTTCTCACTGGCCATTTGACCATTGAGTGGCGGACGTTGGGCTGCAGGGGAACACAACTGGAATCTTAGCTCTAAGGCAGAGGAGGATCTTCACCCAACTGGAAATTAAATATATATATATTCATATATATATATATATATGTACATGTATATTTGAAGAAGTAAAGGGCATTGAAGGAACTTTTCTAGAGTAAAACTTCATTCAACTGTGTCTGATGGCAGCAAGCAGCAGGAACCAGAACCAAGCRTGATGCAAAGTCAAGCACAGACATTCCTTGAAAGCAGAAGTGAAGTGAATAAACGACAGCAGGTCCCTGGCTCTGCCCGAGCCGCGGGCTCTGGAAGCACCGATTCGCGAACGCTGTGCGTTTGTCAGACCATCCAACCAAGGGTCAACAAACCAGAAGGCAAATTACTGTATAAATTATGCAGAGTTATTTTTCCCTATATCTCACAGTTTTAAAAAAGAAAGAGTAAATAAAACGAGTTGACCTCGGTCACAAATGCAGGTTTGTTTTTTACTATCAGCTCAGTTGTTTTTGTTTATTTTTTTTAATGTAATTTGTACATCTTTTCAATCTGTACATTTGGGCTGTAGCTTTGTACTTTTTGCTAAAAAAAAAAAAAAAAAAAGACATGAGTAATGTATCTGTTGGAGTTAGGCTTGGTCCTGCAATTGGATCCATGATTGACCCCCAAAGTGGCCAGAAACCTTCCAGATTGCCCTGGGTTTGTCTAGAGGAGAGAATTTTCTGGGTTAGTCCGCAAATGAATTCCACTTATTCCCATGTTTGCATTGGGGCTGATTGAAAACAGGCCCAGCATCTCCAGGAAGCCATCACAATATTCTGGGATCGCTTTTCACCCCAATCCTGAACTTTCCTTGGGAAGATCTTAAACCACTTCATAGATAAAAAAGAGAAGTATTTCGTCATTTCGATGGCTTCTGCTGGAGATTCTGTGGAAATCTGAGCCCTGCCAGGGTTCCCAGCCACCCCCAGCTCCACACATGTGAATGTGATGCTGCACGAGCGGCGGTTTGGTGCCGTAAACAGAGGGTAAACCACAGGCGTTTGGGGTTTGGAACAGATGTCTGGGGGGCGAGATTTCCATGTACAACCCATTAGCCAACTTGTATGAAGTGGCAGCCAATTAACAGGATCACAACTATCTAGTCTAGACCAACCCCTGGGACTCTGTGGGGGCGAGATTCGGTCCATGTGCATCCGATTGCAGGAGGGGAGTCTGAGAGCAGAGCTTTGCAATCTGCTCAGAGCGTTACACACAAGCACTGATGCCATTATTTAACAAAGGGGGAGGAGAAGATCAAGCTAATCCAGTTAGGTCTTAGTGCTTTCAGGGTGTTTTTAAGTAACATTTCTGCAATAATCGCTTCATCTTTAAGTATGAAGAAACTGCCCATGGAAATGGGGCTTTTGCTACTATATATATGCAATGTACTTTTTGGATATTAAAATATATATAATTTTGCAAGCTATCTTGATGGGTGTTGTTTTTTTAAAAATGTATTAATGTTACAATGAAACGGTTGTATGAAGAAGATGATGTAAAAAAAAAAAAAAGTGACAAAATAAAAGGTGGTTTTCTCCTCCAAGGCATCATATTGTCCCACTGTCTCCATCCCCTCTCATACCTGCACGAGCTTGAATTTAAATTTAGCTAGAAAGGACAAGAAAGAAGCTCCACAGTAGTGGCAACCCACCCTGGTCACTTCAGTACTGATTCCAGAAAATTTGTGGCTGAGGAGTCAGAGTTGATCAGACCTGATTTGGTTGTGGATGGAAGGGATTAAAACCCAGGCTCTGGCTTTTGTCCATGGAGAAAGTGGAAAAGCAGCCAGAGCTCCGGAGCTGAAGTGTCGAGGTGGCCCTTGGGGTGCCCTGGGACCCCTCAGCAATGTCTGAGTGTGCCCACCCCACTCCACTTCCCACCTATCCCCAAAGCCCAGAGAGCCAGAGMTCCGCAGCATTCCTGAGGTGGAGGCTGCAAAAACAAGCTCTGCCAAGGAATCTTCTGATTGTGGAGAAAGGTCAGGCCCAGGCACTTCCTGCAGTTCTGCACGGTGCTCCTGAGAGATATCTGGAGCTGCTGCAGCCCTGATAAAGCCTTGGGAAGCCCGGGCTGCACGAGCACAGCATTTCCTTCCTGCACACAACCTTTTGTTGCCGAGCTCCAGGACAAAGCTTGATTGCCTCGGGAAAAGGGCCATTCCAGCACCCCAGAGCTGCTCCCTCTGTGGATTCCACCAGAGTTGCTCAATTTAGTCACAAGAGCGAGTGGTTTSTTGCTTATCTCCGTTGTTTTCCACTGCAGCACCAGCAAGATTAATTCTGGCTGCGCAGCATCAGTGGAAATATCAAGTATTTCGTTTGAATGTCGTGTCCTGCCTGCCTGCCAGTAATAGGAAAATCAGAAGACAAGATTGCACAAAGGCGTTTAAAGGCAGAATCTGAAGGTTATCAGAGTGCARAGATGTCCCTGACAGCAAAATTTAGCCAGCAGAAACCTTGGGAGGAAAAAAAAAAAGTTTGAAAATAACCAACAATTTAAGAAGCATCTGATTGTGGCTGCCCAAGGTGTTAAAGGAGCCCTGCTGAGAYTGATCAGCAGCATCCCAGATCAGGTCCTCTCTGACTCCCTTCATCCTTCCCTTCAGGGCACTTGCTGGCATTAATTGCTGCCAGTATTTACTAATATTTATATTTAGACATCAATTTTTTGTGGTATTTGCTAATATTTAGCTTTAGGCAGATTTTGCCTTCCCCTGACAGGGGCATTTGCATGGAATCCAAAGATCTCAGAGCAAGGAGATCCCACCCCAGAGTGCCAGACACTGCTGGGGCACTTCCCAGGCACCTTTTAGAGCATTTTCATCAGATTTTTATAGTTTACATTCCTCAGGTAGAAAAAGAGTAATCAGACAGAGATTGGAATTAATTTGTACCCCTGACATCAGCCTGGCTTTGCCACGTTGGAAGCTCYAGGGGTGGGAGCAGGGGGGATCTCCCCTCCCAGCCCAGTGTCTGGGACAAAAAACAAACAAGGAATTAGACAGCCTGAATGTTACTTTTTGCTTTTCCCAGGAGGATGARGCAGATGGAATTCAAGTATTTCAGGCTTAAATCAGAAAGTTTACCAGACAGATGGTTGGGATCACATGGCTGTGAGCCGGGAGTCAACAAGGACAGCAGAAAATCTCTAAATCCAAGTTCAGGACTCAGCTCCCATTGTAATTGGGGAAATTCAGCTGCTGATTTCCAGGGATCTGGTATTTCCCCAGGATTTCTGTTCCACCAGACCCAAACCCTCAATGGGATCTCACTCAAACATGAATTAACTCCACATTCCACCCTCTATAAATYAACTCCACATTCCACCCTCTATAAATAGAGAGTGCAGCCTGTGCATTGTGTAGAACCAGAAGTGACTCCACAGGCTCTGATCTCCAGCTCCCGTGGCCAATCTCTGCGCTGGTTTTCTCCATTTCAGCTGCTGCTGCCTCTCTGTGTGTGAATTCCTCCTGCTCCATTACAGCCAGCAGCTTTGGAACCTGCTTTGAAGTGCATTTTGAAGCAGGTTTTGATCCCTGCTGCTGGGAGTCTGGAGGATGGAGCTCCCCACTGGAGGATTGGTTAGATGCTCTAAACTAGGGGCTGACAAATCCTTCCTGAGCCCAGTCCATGGGATCTCTCCTGCCCAGAATCCCTGGGATCTCTCCTGCCCAGAATCCCTGAGATCACTGCCCAGAATCCCTGGGATCACTGCCCAGAATCCCTGAGATCACTGCCCAGAATCCCTGGGATCACTGCCCAGAATCCCTGAGATCACTGCCCAGAATCCCTGAGATCACTGCCCAGAATCCCTGAGATCACTGCCCAGAATCCCTGGGATCACTGCCCAGGATCACTGGGATCTCTCCTGCCCAGAATCCCTGGGATCACTGCCCAGGATCACTGGGATCTCTCCTGCCCAGAATCCCTGGGATCACTGCCCAGAATCACTGGGATCACTGCCCAGAATCCCTGAGATCACTGCCCAGAATCCCTGAGATCACTGCCCAGAATCCCTGGGATCACTGCCCAGGATCACTGGGATCTCTCCTGCCCAGAATCCCTGGGATCACTGCCCAGAATCACTGGGATCACTGCCCAGAATCCCTGAGATCACTGCCCAGAATCACTGGGATCACTGCCCAGAATCCCTGGGATCCCTCCTGCCCAGAGTCCCTGTACGCCAGAGCCCACCTCTTACACGCAGGAGGAGCTTTTTGCTTTATGCACCTAAAAATGGTGTTTTAACCCTGAGGATGAACTTGCAAACAGCTGCAGATTTCTACAGAGTGCTATGACAAAGAACAGGGATTTCCCTGTGCCAGGACAGGGGACAGTTCCCCCAAGCCAAGACCTTCCCTTAGCAAAGACAATTTCTCACACTCATGTCCAACAAATGCACTCCAGCCCCAATGAGACATTAATTATGAGGAAAATCTGCCTTAACTTCTGTTGATGAAAATATTTAGTGCCAGGCTGGACTTGCCCTGTGATATTTCATGCAGCAAATGCCTGGGTCTGAAGCRTTGTGCTCCAAGGAGGGATGAGCTCGCTGCTATTTCCCACCCCGGTGTCACAAGGATGGAGCCATCAGTCAGGGAATGCTGGCTGAGAGCAGCCAGCTTCACTTCATTATCCCGTTACAATAACAGAGCTTTTACAGGCTGCTTTGCTGTGCTGATCCAGGATTTTTAATAACTCCTGTGAAATTAGTTGGTGAGACTTCAGCCTGCTGCCTACCAAAGTCTGCATTTGGTGTTAATTAGAGCTGCAGAGGCTTGACAGGGGCTGCTATTTATAAATTCACTTCAAACACCTTATTTGTATATTTTTGCACAATGCCCAGTGTAACATACACATGACAATTTTCATCTGTGAAAGCAGAACTTGCTGCAAATAAAGCTCAGACYTTTCTGTCATATCAGAAAAGGATGGAGAGATCTCTGTTAAGGTCATGTGGAGAATGACAACACAGAATTTAGTTTGTGTGTTATGGTTTTTCCAACTACAGAGGTAGAAATCCCTGCACACAAAGCTCAGAYTTTTCTGTTGTATCAGAACAAAATTACAGTTCCTTGGCACAAATCAGCTCTTCAGGCTCCAAGAGCAGCAAACAGAGCCTGATACCAAACCCACTGAGCATGAGGACCGAAGGCAGAGCAGTTTTGAGGCCGTGGCAGCAATAACCCCATCAGTCCTGCACCCCAGAGTGGGGGAGCTGCCTCAAGGAGCCCCAGGGATGTGCCCTGTGCCGGCAGGGGATGGGCACAGCGGGGTTTGCAGCTGAGCAGCCATCCTGACCAGGATAAATAATGCAGCAGGAGGAGCTTTGGGAAGGGGAGGTTCCCAGGTGGAGGGACCTGGCTGTTCCCAACCAGGGGCAGGCACAGCAGGATTCAGTCCTGGAGCTCTGCTGGAAGCTGCAGTGTCCAAAGGAAGATGGGCAGCCAGGGGCTCTGGCAGTTTGGTGCCATTTCACCACCAGGGCTGGCTCCTTCCTTTCCAGGAACTGCTGCAAACTCATTATTTGCCYTGGCTTTCCCTGCAGTTCCTGTCTCCCTGAGCTGCAGAGCCCAGTGCTGGAGGGAGTCAGCCCTGCAGAGTCCCCTGGCTGCACCCGTGGGGCTGGGCACGGACATCTCAGGGGCACAGGGTCCGTGTTCCAGGGGGTCCCTGGGGGGACTGAACCTGGGAGAGTTGGCAGAGGGCCCCTCTAA